ATCCCAAAATTCCATCCCAAAAAGTCTCCAAAATGCAAACCTAAAATCCCCAAATTTTACCCCAAAAATGCCCAAAATTCCACCCCAAAAATAAAAAATTGACCAAAAAATGCCCAAATTTCACCCCAAAAATACCGAATTTCACCCCAAAAATCTCCAAATTCCACCCCCAAAATCCCCAAATTTTATCTTAAAAATGCCCAAATTCCACCCCAAAATCCCCAAATTCCACCCCAAAAATCTCCAAATTCCACCCCCAAAATCCCCAAAATTCCAGCAGAAAAATAAAAAAATTGACACCAAAAATTGCCAAAATTCACCCAAAAATCCACCCCAAAAATCCCCAAATTTCATCCCAAAATTCCCAAATTCCACCCCAAAAATCTCCCAATTTAACCCCAAAATCCCCAAATCTCACCCCAAAAAATGCCCAAAATTTCCCCCCCCAAAATCCCCAAATCTCACCCCAAAAATCGGGGTCAGTGTTTTGACCTTTGACCCCTCCGAGATGTGACCTCCTGACCCCCCCCCCCCGGGGTCACCTGGGGGTCACCTCGGGGTCACTTCAGGGTCACCCCAGGGTCACCTCGGGGTCACCTCGGGGTCACTTCAGGGTCACTTCAGGGTCACCTGGGGGTCACTTCAGGGTCACATCGGGGTCACCTCGGGGTCATTTCAGGGTCACCCCAGGGTCACCTCGGGGTCACCTCGGGGTCACTTCAGGGTCACCTCGGGGTCATTTCAGGGTCACGTCGGGGTCATTTCAGGGTCACTCCCAGTGCCACCAGTGCCACCAACCCCCGGGGTCACCTCAGGGTCACCTTGGGGTCACCGCAGTGTCACCTCAGGGACCATCGGTGCCACCCCCGGTGTCACCTGTGTGTCACCAATGCCACCCCCGGTGCCACCCCGGTGTCACCAGTGCCACCCCAGGGTCACCCCAGGGTCACCCCAGGGTCCCCAGTGCCACCACCCCCAGTGCCACCAACCCCGGTGCCACCTCAATGTCACCTCCGGAGTCACACCAGGGCCACCCCAGGGTCATCGGTGCCACCCCCACGGTCACCCCAGGGTCACCCCAGGGTCACCCCAGGGCCACCCCAATGTCACCCCCAGGGTCAGCAGTGCCACCACCCCAGGGTCGCCCCGGGGTCACCTGAGTGCCACCAGTGCCACCAACCCCCGGGGTCACATTGATGTCACCTCAGTGCCACCACCCGGTGCCACCCCAGGGTCACCTCAATGCCACCCCTGGTGCCACCCCGGTGTCACCAGTGCCACCCCAGGGTCACCCCAGGGTCCCCAGTGCCACCACCCCCGGTGCCACCTCAATGTCACCTCAATGTCACCTCCGGGGTCACACCAGGGCCACCCCAGGGTCATCGGTGCCACCCTCAGGGTCACCCCAGGGTCACCTCAGGGCCACCCCAGGGTCATCGGTGCCACCCCCAGGGTCACCCCTGGGGTCACCCCAATGTCACCTCAGGGTCCCCAGTGCCACCCCGGTGTCACTGTCACCACCCCCGGTGCCACCCCAGGGTCACCTCAGTGTCACCCCCAGGGTCAGCAGTGCCACCACCCCCCGGGGTCACATCGATGTCACCCCGGTGCCACCACCCGGTGCCACCCCAGGGTCACCTCAGTGCCACCCCCGGTGTCACCCCGGTGTCACCAGTGCCACCCCAGGGTCACCCCAGGGTCCCCAGTGCCACCACCCCCAGGGTCACCTCAATGTCACCTCAATGTCACCTCCGGGGTCACACCAGGGCCACCCCAGGGTCATCGGTGCCACCCCCAGGGTCACCCCAGGGTCACCTCAGGGTCACTCCCAGGGTCACCAGTGCCACCACCCCGGGGTCACCTCAGTGCCACCAGTGCCACCACCCGGTGCCACCCCAGGGTCACCTCAATGCCACCCCTGGTGCCACCAGCCCAGGGTCACCTCAGTGTCACCCCCGGTGTCACCCTGGTGCCACCAGTGCCACCCCCTGTGTCACCTGTGTGTCACCAGTGCCACCCCCCTGTGTCACCTGTGTGTCACCTGTGCCACCCCAAAGTGCCACCAGGGTCACCGGTGCCACCTGTGCCAGCCCCGGTGTCACCTGTGCCGCCCGCAGTGCCACCGGTGCCACCTGTGCCAGCCCCGGTGTCACCTGTGCCACCCGCAGTGCCACCGGTGCCACCTGTGCCAGCCCCGGTGTCACCTGTGCCGCCCGCAGTGCCACCGGTGCCACCTGTGCCAGCCCCGGTGTCACCTGTGTGCCAGCACAGACCGGGCCTGGGGGGTGGCACAGGTGGCACAGGTGGCACACAGGTGACACAGGTGACACAGGTGACACACAGGTGACACACAGGTGACACGTGACACAGGTGACACACAGGTGACACAGGTGACACAGGTGACACACAGGTGACACACAGGTGACACGTGACACAGGTGACACACAGGTGACACGTGACACAGGTGACACACAGGTGACACACAGGTGACACACAGGTGACACACAGGTGACACAGGTGACAGGTGACACACAGGTGACACACAGGTGACACAGGTGACACGTGACACAGGTGACACACAGGTGACACGTGACACAGGTGACACACAGGTGACACAGGTGACACAGGTGACACACAGGTGACACAGGTGGCACAGGTGGCACATAGGTGACACAGGTGACACAGGTGGCACACAGGTGACACAGGTGACACAGGTGGCACATAGGTGACACAGGTGACACAGGTGGCAGGTGACACAGGTGACACAGGTGGCACACAGGTGACACAGGTGACACACAGGTTGCACACAGGTGGCACAGGTGACACACAGGTGACACAGGTGACACACAGGTGGCACACAGGACACACAGGTGGCACACAGGTGACACAGGTGACACACAGGTGACACACAGGTGACAGGTGACACAGGTGACACCAGGGGTGGCACAGGTGACACAGGTGACACACAGGTGACACAGGTGACACACAGGTGACACAGGTGACACAGGTGACACACAGGTGGCACAGGTGGCACCGGCGGGTCGGGTCAGGCCCCGCCCCCGGCGCTGTCACCTGCCGGGGGGCCCAGGTGTGCCCAGAGGACCCTCAAGACCCGGACATGGATCGGGATCGGGATCAGGATCAAAACCCGGATCAGGATCAAAACCCGGACATGGATCGGGATCAGGATCGGGATCAGGATCAAAACCCGGATCAGGATCGGGATCAGGATCAGGATCAAAACCCGGATCAGGATCGGGATCGGGATCAGGATCAAAACCGGACCCGGATCAGGATCGGGATCAGGATCAAAACCCGGACATGGATCGGGATCAGGATCAGGATCAAAACCGGACCTGGATCAGGATCGGGATCAGGATCGGGATCAGGACCAGGATCAGGACCCGGATCAGACTCAGGACCCGGATCAGGATCAGGACCAGGACTCTGATCAGGACCC